AAAAATTTACCCCTTCCCCCCCCCCAAAAATAATAATACTAATAATAATACTAATAATAATAATATTAATAATAATCCTAACAAAAAACAAAAAAAAATAAAGATACAACAAAAATAGTACAAAATACTAAACTTGCTACACATACATCGGTTTTATTTCTTTCATGGTGAACGAGGAATTACATCTCATGCTAAAATATGATAATAATAATTAATAATTAATAATAATAATAATAATAATGATAATTATAATATTAATAATAATAATAATAATGAATGCTAGTACGCGATTTTAAAAAGAATAGGAAAAACAAAACAAAACAAAAGTATCGAACAACTTTAAATTGTTTATAATTGTCAAGCCTTTTCCCCGAGTATCGAAAATAATTAGAATGTAATTAGAAATTATAAAAGAGAGAGAGAGAGAGAGAGAGAGAGAGATATGAACACGAAAGTAATTTACTTTCGTAATATAAGCGGTTCTTATAATAAAAATTAAAATAAAATTAAAAAAAAAAAACAATTTAAATAAATAAATAAATGTTTCTTCGTTGTATAGTTCGGTAGAGTTCCGGTGCTAAATAAATAAATGAATTATTATTATTATAGGATCGTTTACACACGTGTGCACTTCAATTGTCACGTATTATTTAATAAATAATACTTCAATCAATGTTTATTTATTATAAATATAGATATATAAAAAAAAACATAAGAACAAATGAAAAAGAAATGATAAAGAAATGCATTTTTCTTTGAACAAATGATCTCAAAAATTATATAATATTATATTATTTATTTATAATCAAATGAATAAACAAATTAGCTTGGCCTAAACAAATCTTTCTAATGTGTGAAATAATAATCGGCCTCGGAATGCAATATATATATGTTATATGATGGATATGATATATATATATATATATTGGTTATTAAAAACAGAAAAACTTATTGTTATTGTTGTAATTTTTATTTTGTTTTTAAGAAAATATTTTTAGTTAATTTTAAGTTTTATTTTTTTTTTTTTTTTGATGGGGTTTTTATTTTATATTAAATATATTATATGAGCACTGTACAAAAATAATATTTTACTAATTTCTAAAAAACTTGAGTAATAAATTGTTTAAAAAAAAGAAAAAAAAAAGAGAAAAAAAACAAGGTGGCCTAATTTAATGGAAAAAATAATTTGATCACACGTATGAAATTAAAAAAAAAAAAAATAATTAAAATATAATTTCACAATGTGGACTCATGTATAAAATAAAATATAATAAATTTACAATATATATATATATATATGTAATCCGTATATTTAATATACTGAGTTATTAAAAAAAAAAAAAAAACAGAAATGTTTGATCGTTACCATAATAATAAAACAAATATTATTATTGTCAAAATTACACGTTGTTGAAACGTAAAAAAAAAAAAGGAAAAAAGAAAAAAAAAGAAAGAAAGGAAGAAAGAAAATAATAAAAAAAAAAAAAAATAAAAACTTAGGCTCGTTCCACCGAAGTGTACAGCTTGTTGTTCATTGCATATACGAAAAAAAATACCATTATATATATATATATATATATATATATACACACATACATATAAGCATAAAACCTTTAATATAACCAGCAATATTTAATTATATAATACAATTTGGTAAACAAATGAACAAAAAAATACACTCTAGATATCTGATTATTCGTTTTGCTATTGTAAAAGCTGACCTTTAGTGCCATAAACTTAAATCACAATTGATAATGATGATAATGATAATGATAATGATAATGATAATGATAATGATAATGATAATGATAATAAGAATGATAATGATAATAAAAATGATGAGGATGATGATGATGATGAGAAGAAGAAAAAGGATGAGTGGAAAGAAATGATGGTGGAGAAGAAGAAGGTTTGAATTGATTTTCATAAAAATAAAAATCATTAAAAAAAAGATAAAGCAAATAAAAAAAAATAAAAAATAAACAAAAAACAATGAAGAAATAAAATGATAATTAAAAAGGATTTTTAAAATAGCACCTTAAACCGATCAAGTCAGTGGTAATAATATTTTCTAACGACGATTTTTCTTTTTCTAACGAACAAAAAGAAACAACAACAACAAAAAATGAATAGAAAAGATATACTATATATATTATTATTATATATATTTTACATATTGTATATAATATAGTTACCAAACGATGATATATATATATATATATATATATATAATATAATAATATAATATCATATTATATAATAATATTATATAGTATAATATATAATTTCAATTATATTATAATTAATATAATATTTTTTATAATATAAAAAATATTATACTTAATATATTATATTATATTATAATTATATTATAATATAATATTAATATAATATAATATAATTTATTTTATATATATATATATATATTATTATTATTATTATATTATAATATAATATTAATATAATATATAATAATTATATTATTATTAATTATAATTATAATATAATATATTATAATATATATATTGGAATATAATATTATAATATTATATTATTATATAATATATAATGTATTATATATAATAAATATTATTTAATACAATATTATATATTAAATAATAAAATATAATATTATATTATATTTATATATATTATTTATAATATATATACATTGTACGTAGATTTATGGATAATTAATATAAATTAATTATATTACAAGGAAAAAAAAATAAAATAAATTAAAATGAAATAAAATTAAATGATATTAATAATTGTAATTATAATAACAATAATAATAATAATAATAATAATAATATATACGCCTAATATATCGTTGGTATATTTAAATATAATATTATTATTATTAGCACGGCATTGTTGATATCTTTACATCTAATTGAATATTTAGAATAATCGCACGGCATCGCAAAAGTACCTAGGAATATTTAATATATTCTTTATTATATGAGAGAAAGAGAGAAAGAATGAAAGATTGAAAGAGAGAGAGAGAGAGAGAAAGATTGAGAGAAAAAAAGAGAGAAAATTAAATGAAAACCCCATATAAAAAAAAAGGACACGTACTTACAAGCATAAAAAATAAAAATAAAATACATTCAAAACATATACACATAGATATTACTACCAACATGCAGGATATACATAAGATACATCAAAATTACATATGTATATGCATAAATAAACACATACATGCGTACATACACACATGCTCGCACATGCTCTGTCTCATTGTAATTTGTATGATAGAAACAATTAATATTGTCGTGTCAATCATTATGCATAAAAATATATATATATATATATATATATATATATATATATATATATATTACATAATTCATCTAAAATATCACCAGATAGTAGGAGGGAGCTATTTTAATCATTAAACTCTATAAAAAAAAGATATGAAAAAGATAAAAAAAAAGAGAAATAAATAATTTAAAAAAAAAAAAAAAAGGAAAAGAAAAAAAGAAATACAAAATAAACGTTGTGTTTTACAGCGTAAAATTATATACCGGGTGTCTTCTAAAAAAAAAATAAAAAAAAATTAAATTCACCTTTCCTGCTACTGCTACTGCTACTGCTGCTGCTGCTGCTGCTGTTGCTTTTGTTTTTGTTATCTATTTTATTAATTAAATTTTATAATCGAATTATATGCTCATCTTTTTTCAGTTATGTATGATTAATTGATTGATTGATTGATTGATGAAAATGATCGATAAGAATTAATAATGATATTAATTAATTATGAGATTAAAAAAAGAAAAAACAGAGAGAGAGAAAGATAGAAGTGTTGTAACGTTTTAGAAAATTGTTGTTGTTTTTTTTTTTTTTTTTTTAATGTGATTTTTATCACAATTTATATTGTATCGTAGATATTGTATGATATAAACAAATTGAAAAAAGAATTTTATTTATTACGGTTAAAGAAACCCGGAATGTTATTAACCGATTAATGTTACAAATCTAAAGAAAAAAATTCTATTGGATATAATCTGACAAAATTCTTTTTTGAAAAGAATAAGATTAAAAGAAAAAGATTAAACATGTAAAAGTATGAGAGAGAGAGAGAGAGAGAAAAAAAGCTCATTTTTAGTCTTGTTCAACAGACGACTGTGATCATTTTAGAAATGTCACCCCACGTACGAAATTCACAATTCTCAACGTACGAAATCGAACCAGCAATCAACTTTGTGATAGTCTACTGTGTACCGAATCTGGTAAAATTCGTTAAAATAATCCCCAATTTTTCCTCTAGATAAGCTGTATAATTAAATTAGAACTTTGTCACGTACACGCAAAAGAAAGAAAGAAAGAAAGAAAGAAAGAAAGATGGAAAGATGAAAAGAAATAGAAAACAAAATAAAACAAACCAATAAAAAAAAAAAAAATAAGAAACGTATTTAATACATTTAAAGATGATAATGATGATAATGATGATGAATAATATGGAAAATAAATTGTGTTATTCCCTGATTTGTATCACGTAGGCACATTTAATAATAAATCGAAATATTATCTATGTTTTTTTATATATATATAATATATCGTATGTATACCCCTTTTCTATTCGATCCACCATTTTTTTCTTTTTAATATAAAGTTTTAAAATTTGTATAAGTAAAAGAATATTTTATTTTAATGATTAAAAATTTATTTTATAATTATAATTATATATAATAATAATAATAATAATAATATATTTTATTTTATAATCCTAAAAAATGTGTTTCTGTGTATACAAATTTTGTAATGTTGTATTACAAGAAAATTTTTTGATTGTTTTTATTTGAACAGTGTCATTGATTAGTTTGTTTGTTTTTGTTATTTAATTAATTTACTTTTAAAATTGACAATATTTTAATCGTATCGTTTCTACGTATAATAATTTATATCAATACAAATATATAATTTATTATTAATAATATTTTATTTTATTTTTTAAAGTTGCAAAACAAGTAATACATATACGAAAGTATTTGGCGCGTAATTTTTAAATTTTTAATTCAATGTATTGCCTGTAGAGGGAAGTACCAGTCTTTACTTAATAGAAATTGTATACCTTTTTCTAATTTTGGAGGTTAAACACATTGAATTTGAATAGTATATTAAAAAGTGTAATTATTTATTATTAGTATTTAATTTTAATCCATAAAAATGTCATCGTTTACGTTCGGAACGCCTACTATAACCTCAAGTAGTTCAGGTTTTGGATTTGGTACTCAAAGGTATATAATATACTTTTTCATAATGTAACTTTGTATATTGAAATATTGGTATATTATGATAAAAATTAATAATATTACGATTTATAATGATAAATGCTTAATGATATTGGTTTAAATAGCACGTCTTTTACTTCAACGACACCTGCAACTGGATTAACATTTGGAACACCAACCCCAGCGGCTACTACCAGCAACTTAAATTTTGGTTTTGGAACAACACCAACAACTGCTACACCTAATCAACCAACTGGCACATTTTTAGGAACTGGAACAGCTACGACAACTGCAACATCAAACTTCTTTTCAACTCCGACAACTTCTGCAGCTCCTTTGTTTACTGGACGTACTTTTGGAACGCCTGTTCAAAACAATACAAATACCATAAAAGCACCTATAAATACTACACCTGCTACAGGAGGTTTAATGTTTGGAACTTCTACCAGTACACGTAAATATTAATAATAACAAATATTAAAATATAATAATTAAATAAAATAACTCTGTACTTTAGCAAGATGATTTATATATTTACAGCATCCTTGTTTGGTGCTGTTAGTACTGGTGGTTTAGCAGCTACTAAATTAACAACCACTACAACTACCACTACAACTGCTAGTAAAGGATTAGGTGGATTAGATGTTTCTGTTAATAATAAAGGTCTTTCTCAAGGTAGCAATAGTCCAACTGCAGCGAAGGAAAATTTATTACCCAATGAATTGTGCCAAACCATAGATAAATTCAAGTAATTTCAAATGTTTTCATCTATATAATAAATCGATTATATTATTTATTTTAATTCTATAGATATTAATCTTCTTTCATTTTAATCAGAGAATTTGTGAAAAAACAGAAGGTTTTATCTTCCGATATAGCGAGAGGTTCTGCTAGACCACTGAACCGTTGTGCAGAGGATACAGCATCTTTAATGGAACTTTTAACAACATTGGCAGGATCTGTACAACGTGATCGTTCTTTTGCTGATAAACTGAAACAAGATACGGCTAAGGCATTACAAAATGCAGAAATAGCTCAAAGAACAAACGATACACCATCTGGATTGCAATATGAAAATAACGCACCACTTCTATTTTTCATGGAATTAGCAGAAAACTTTGAACACGACTTAATGTTATTTAGATCTCAAATTGAAACAACAGAGAAACATATACAAACGATGATGGCACCAAAGACTTTAACTCCACAAGGTATAATAATAATTATTAATTAGTTATTAAATAACATTGATTACAATATAAGATAAAAATTATATTATTTCTTTATAGAATTAACTATGGCTATGAGTAAACTTCATGAATCATTAGTCGCTGTTGCTGGAAAATTGCAAGGTGTACACTCAAAAGTACAACAACAGAAAGAACAATATTTAAATTTTAGAAAATACGTCTTGAAAGATAACACTAACGTTTTTGATGATATTAAAACAAACGATAAATCATTGGGAAACACTATGGGAAGAATTACTAGTGGGCCAACACCTTTTGGTCCAGGTAGTATACCATTATTATTATACTAAATATGTGTATATATATATAGATTATATATTATTTGAATAATTTTGTTTAAATAGGCAACAGAAGTTTCATATCTTCAACAGCATTGATTTCTTCTCAAACTGCCAGTTTAGATGCACGAAATTCTTTAGGTAATTAAATAAGTGATTAACTTCAAGTAAAAATTGCAATACTAATTTAATTTCACGCTAAAGACTAAGTCGTCTCTTCTCCCTAAAACAACAACGTGTGTTATTCTCGTTGTTACAAATTTCCCATAAACATGTCCTACCTTCAGGTCTTGCGTGGATCTAGTGTAAGGTAGAAATCACTAACATTTAACGTCCGTATTAAGTACTGTAGAAGTAATTATGTATATAAAAAAAAGACATAAATCTGCTCTGTCCATTTGTCTTATTTAAATATATAATATACAGGATGTCACAGATTTTTCCAATCAAAAGATATCAGTGAATTTTATGTAAAAAAATAAAAATAAAAAAAAATGTTATATCCTTTCTTATTTTCATACATAAAATACACAGATAATTATTTGACTGGAAGATTAATCTCAGACATCCTGTATATTCATATAGTTTGTTTTTTTTTTTCCTTCGTTTATACATTATATTATTATTTTATGATTTGATTTTAATTTTGCGTTTGCAGGGGAAATGTAGAAGCTGTATTTTAGTTATTGAGGTATTCAATTTTACTTCTTTCTTTTTTGTGTTATGAACTCTTATGGGAAATATTAATGGAAGCTTTCCTGTTTTAATATTATTGGGAACAAACTTGTGTTCATCGTCTATCGTTCATCGTTTATAATACATATGGGCAAAACAAAAAGAAACCAAAAAAAAGAATAGAAAAATAAAAAATGTTGTCTTGCTTTTTAAGGAATGGCTGCGTATTTTATGTCTGCTTTTAATTGCTCCTGCTTTTATCTCATCTCAAAGTTATTATAATATATTTGCATAATGTTATTTAAGAAGTGCTGGGTACAAAATTGAATGTAAAAGAAAAAAACAATACTTTAACAAATGTAAGTGCAACACCATCCGGGGTAAGATGTAGTCGATGTGATTCAGGAATTTTTCAAATTTAGAAAATGAAATTTGTAGTTACGTTAAAAAACTAACTAATTATTTCTATTATATTGTTAATGTGTATATATATATATATATATATATATATATATATATATATATATATGTATGTAGATATATATATATATCTTCTACATATATATGTGGATTAAAATTGCTGATAAAGTGTGTAACTATCGTAAATCATAATTTTATGAATTCATGGAAAACATCAAACAGCTTCAGCTAATGTACGTACATTTAAGTTTACCATGATATTTTGAAAGAATTCAATTTGATTAATAAATATGTTGTTACAGTTTGGGGTAATACGACACCAGTTCCTTCTGCTATAAACTCAACCATAGATACATCATCGATCAAGCCACCAACAGCTAGTTTGAACTTCAATGCTCCATCAAATCTTACCGCACCTATGACAACTATCGAATCTAATGCTAATTTCCAACTACAGAAACCACCGATTGGAAATAAAAGAGGGAAACATTAAGTTTTCTTTCTTTTTTTTTTTTTTTTAACATTTCTCTTTCTCTTATTTTTCATTACTCGTCGTAAAAATATTAAATATAATATTAAGTTGTCAACATCTTTTTTTTTTTTGTTTTTTGTTTGTTTGTATTCATATTGTTTTTAATTATTTGTAATATATATATATATATATATCAAATTTTCATGCATGGTTATTTACTCTCGTGTCTATTTAATTTAATGAATACAAAGTGAATTAGAAAATCTAAAAAAATAATATACATATTTATGAACCATCACCTTATAATAAAGCTTTTCATGTATAAAATATATATATATATATAATTGAATTAGGTAATTTTGTTTTTTCTAAAATAATTTTTCATTATATTTACATTTAAATCTTTCTATCTATTATTATGTTTTTCATATATATATACGAACCTGCATTTGTTGATTATGTATTTTTAACAAAATTATAATATTTTCCTGCAAATGAAAATATTATTTAATAATAATTTAACTATCTTTAATTATTAGATTA